TATCATTTTCTGCACTTTTTTTTTATATGTTTTCCCCTCTCCAATCAACTTTTTAAACAAGGTACGCTGTTCTTCTGAACAATGTCTGTAACGACCCATTTTCCTCAGAATTTCAGAGAGAAATGCACTGTAACCAGCATGTACAACATTTGCTGCCTTCCTTCCTTAAATAAGGGCAATAATTGCCACCTGTTTTTCAAAGAATGAATGACCTCACTAATAGAACTCTACACTGCTATTATTTTGAACATGCCCCTTTCAATTAGTGATTCAATTACACAGAATCAGCAGCATGCATGTCATGACTGTTGGGTCTGTTGGATTTCTATTACTCTACTACACCTGCTAGTAAATTATTTGCCATGTAGAAATATCATTTCTACCAAAAACAGTGATTGATTCAGGTTAGTGATGTCTGACTGCTATTATTTTGAACACAACTGTGTATATATATATATATATATATATATATATATTTTTTTTTTTTTTTTTTTTTTTTTCTTTTTACTTGACCACTTAATCTCTGTTCTCAGCTGTATAAGGGCCTTGGAAAGGTGGGGGTGGAGAAACAGTAGTATACTGATCTTCCCACAGAATGGCTATGTATGGAGTATGCATCAGCATAAGTCTTGGTCATTGGAGGACAAGCAGGCTGAGCTCCCAGCAAAGACAAAAAACTGATCATTCTGAGATGAATGCACTCTCATGCACAGTGTTGTGAGTTTGTAATAGGAAAGCAGAGGGACTGGCAGGATCACCAGCTATTTCATGCACAGAAAGAAATACAAGAGAACAGGATACTTTTTAAACGCAAGAACATGGTACAACAGGCACATATACGGAATATGAATTGTTGGGGTAACACATTCTTTATGCCGAACCACCTCACCTACTGGTGACTGTTATCACTGGCAAAGTTATAACTGTCCAGGTGTTACAAGAGCTATGGAAGGGCTTTGAACAGTCCAAACAAACGTTTTCCCAGCATGCTTACTAGCTAGCCTGCAAAAACACAAAACAAAATGGCTAAGTCTAACAATCTGGGTTAACACCCAGGTTTTAGTTGCAAACAACTATATCACCACTGTGGTATAGTTTAAATGAATCTGGATGGGATGGCCCTCCCAAAGGATGGTCTAGAACTGAAGGTACAGCCAAACTGCCTGAATCTCCAAAATATTTATTGATGGATGAGATTTCTCTGACAACCAAATTCCCTGCACTGACAAGGTGCCCAGGACTTTAGGCTGGTGCCCACTGTGAGAATCTTCAAAATAAAAATATAAAAAGGAAGAAAGGACGTCTCTGACTCCAGAACCAGATTCCTAATACAAAAAGCCATCAAAAACGCGGTCCTTGGCATCAAACAAAACGGTCTGTCCAGAGACAGGACTCATTTGTCTCGCAATGGAAGAATGTTACGCTAAACATATCTGGAACAGAACTGAGCAAAGAGCTACTTTGAGGGACGCTTCCATCAGCCCTAAAAGTTGGACAACTTCTAGACTTCTAAAGAAGAAACATTATGACCTGTGTTGTGTTAATAGACCAGACCCAGATACTCCAAGCAATGAGTCCGTTCCATCGATGAATTCTAAACGTTCAGGATCCAACCGAACCATCACAGCTCTCGATGACTGTTCTCTCAACAGGAGGTTGTCTTGAGTATCACACAATGGGGATACCATGAGAATGCAACAGAGCTAACACTAGGGTTAGCAACATGGTGAACACCAAGATGCAGGAGAGAAGTAAGCAAATTATAAGGTTTATTTTCTAGAGCTGGAGAGTGCAAAATCAGGCTCACTTTTGCATAGAAACCAATCAGCTTCGATGTTTTATTGCCAAAGCTTAATTGAACAAGTTGAGGTTAGAAGCTGATTGTTTTCTATGCAGAAGTGAGCATAATTTTGCACTCTACAGATTTAGTAAACAAAACCACTTTAAATTCACAGAAGAAAACCACTTGAAATTCACTTTTCTTCACAGAAGAAAGTCTCGCTGGTGGAGGTGGGTATCGATCAGGGGTGCGGGAATTTGCTCGGAGTTGCCTTGCTGGCCAGCCATCCATGATCAGATTGTTCCCAGGGCTGCTTTTAACTTAAGGGGGTATTGTGATTAGTGACGCAACTAATCGGATGAGAGACGGAGACGTGGTGACATCACTCCCGGCGCAAGCGTCATCTTGATACACCCATAGGAGTACATCCAGGAGTTCCTATGAGGATCTGTGAGCATTTTTTTCTCATAATACATATGAGTGAGCATTTATAGTATTCTTTTACATCAATAAATGAAACAATATCACACGATGGAAGGATTCTTCTTCTTGTTTTAAAAACATTGATGAGGAAGCTGAGGCACAATTAGATCATATGAAAACCATCCGGATATCAGGAGAGGTGATACCTGTAAGTTCTGAAGGGGGATACCACCACTGTTTGTGATACCGAATCTGAAGTGGAGGATTGAGCGGTTGGCTGTACTTAATAGCAAAAAAGCGTTTTGACCCTGTGGGGTCACTTCATGAAGGTGAGGGGGGCAATCTTACTGGTGAAGGATTACACTTTTTGTTCACCTGCCAGATTTATAATGATCGCTGGAGGTTTCTATATATCCAGCCATATTGAAGATTACACATGTGGACAATTTGTTTTTTGTTTAATAATAATTGCCTGCACGTGTTTTTGTGGACTTTTTTATAAATTGATTTAAGTTAAGTGTTTATCATAGAGTGTCACTGGATTTTCACTTTTTTTTTTTGCTATTTATATAGCAGTATAGTCCCAAGACTAGAGCACGGCAATTTACACTTTGGTACATGTGGGCACTTGTTGAGTGGTGGTCGCACATTTATGTTGAATTGTTATACTCCTTGTAGATTGTCTTATAGTCAGGGTTAGTTTATCCTGACTGTCCTATTGCTTGTTTCTATAGGCACAATAGTGCCATTTGTCAGTTCATTTCCACTGCACCTTTGGGCATTCATTTATGCCAAGTGTTTTATCACGTGTGGTTTAGTACACGTTTGTGATTTCCCCCTGTTTAGGGACACAAGTGGGTTTATGTATTGTGTTTTTATGTGTTTTGCACATTTATATTTTATTTCATATGGTTTATCAAACATCACTCTATAAGATTGTATAATAATATGAAGAATTGAGTTTGTGATAATCCTAGAGGAGTCAATAGGGATGTAATTGAAACCTCATTTTGATTTAATTATTTATTTATACAAGTGTGGGAGTGCAGCACCAATTTTGTTATAATTGTACATCCAGCACCTTTAGACCTGAATGCAAATATTCATAGCCTAGGGATTCAATATGAAGGGAATGTCCACTTTTGTTTTGGCAATAGTGAACAGGTCAGAGTAAAACCAATGGAACCATTTTGCAGCAGGAAATGGGGCAGTGACACATTATAACCAGAAGACTCAAGAGACTAGCTCTGCAATGTCCTGTCCAGCAGGGTCTGAATGAGTTGGGTTGCTCAACTAGTATGGTCATGCTTGACTGCTGCAAATTGGAGGAGAAAAGTCTTGATTGAAAGAAAAAAATGGAAAGAGAAAAAAAAAAAAAAAAGGGGGGGTTAGTAAAATAGTTTAATCTTTACAACAACAGAGCTGAAGAAAAGATGTCCATCATCCTAGGACACAAGCAAAAAAACTGTGGCATGACAATAGTAGCAGGGGCCACCCTGAGCTGGCCTACAGTTTTCTTGCTTGCCAGGGTCTAATCTTCCTACTAGCAGTAGTATAACCAACTTCCTGTATCCCTCAATGGTCGAGAAAGAAAACATTTTTTCTTCTTAAAGTAATCAGGGAAATGCTAAAACCGACAGCCTTTTATTGTCCTTTTCTCTTTTGCAGATTGTCCCTCATTCCTGTCTATACAAAAGGATTTCCTCAGAACACAAAGTGAGGGAAAAATCTCTCTAATGGAGCCCAGTATAGTAGTGGAACCTGACAGAGGTTATAATCCTTTCCCACTCTATCCAAAAGTAAAAATAAAACATATTTTGGCTACAGATGAACTTTAACATGTTGAAGTGGTACATAAAAAAGGTCAGTTTTTCACAAAAAGGGATTGCTTTTTTGGAAACTGCACTGGGAATAGGTTATCTGGCTACATTAAAATGCTACTTAAGGTCTTAAAGCCCAACAGGTAACAAAAAAAAAAAAATAACTTAAAGCTTCTCTATTGCCGTGAAATAATAATAATAACAACAATAATAATAACATTTAGAAAAATAAAAGTCAGCAGTAGCTTCCAGTACATGTAGAATCACCATACAGAACACAACTCCCAAGACATTTTGTGAATGTGCTCTAGGGAGTTACGAGTGCTGCTGTATGGATTGGTGGCATCAGCGCTCAAAGCACACCAGAGAACTCCGCTATCACAGCTGCAAATCGTTTGGGCATGGCTTGATTTTGTTAGTACTTTTAGTACAGTAACATGGCAAGCACAGCTCTCTCACAAGCACATAGCAAAAGAAAAGCACTACATATGACCACACACTCACAGGGAGTAGGCGTTACATGGTGGTGTAAATAAGCATTCAGACTGAGGCCAGCAATGCTAGTAGTAAAACTATTGATATCATGATGACACCCCATAAAGTCTTCTGGCCAACAAAGAATGTGTTCCTGATAACCTCACCTTCGAGAAAGGCGTCTTACAGGACATTTGGAGGCAGACAACAGAGAGCAGAAAAGGAACTAAAAGAAAAAACGGTGAGTTGATGCTGGGTGGAACCCTACAACCATTGTAAGCTACTCTAATAAGGTTGGAATTGGGTTTTAATAAAAACCCATCAAGATAAAAAGTTGGAAGCTGCTATTTCGCTATTTCTCATAAGGCAAATACAGGTTGCCTATCTGCCATACTGACCCTCTGGATTCAATGTTCGGAGCTACAGGACAGGCTGACAGGTAAGAACATTTTTTTTTTTTTAATTTAATCATGCATCAGACACATAAGCAAAAACAAGCTTACTTTAGGAGTTCAAGTATGGCAAGAACAATGTCATTCACGTAACAAAACCCAGACGCTTCTGATTTTTTTTGCATGATGAAGCCCTCCTGCCCAGTTTACTGCCATGTCAGTTTGCTGTCTGTTCAATTTTACAGCACCGGCTGGAAAAAAAAAAAAAAAGGTGTTACATTTAGTAAAATTACAAAAACTACAATGAAAAATAGTTGAATTCAAAATGCTTTTGGTTTATCACGTTATGTGCAAATTACTATAGTCATTCTATAGCAAAAGTAGAAACAGACAAGGGTGCAGAAAAAGTGTTAAAACTCAAAGAATTTATTATAAAACTAAAATAATACCACACTCACATAAGATTTTTAGTCTCCAGAATCAGATCACTCATGTGCGCAATGCCAAAGATTACTAACCTTTTGTGACTGTGATACTATTTTGGTTTGAAATAACTTCTTCACGTTTTAAATTTTCCTACATCCTTGTCTGGTTCTACTCTTGTTTCTGCTGGATCTCCCCAGATCAATGAGCGGAGAAGCAGAATCAGTTATTGATGCTTTTAGGGACGAATGGACTCTAAGGACTATACGGTCATGCAAGTTTAAATATGTGCACTCATTTTCTGTGTTTTTCTAACAGTCAATCCGGATAAAAAAAAAAAAAAAATCTACATGCAAATCTTTTAAACTTCTGGAACTTGTAATTCATAGAAAGCAAAAATACCTTACCAACAGAGCCTCCAGTGGAAAGCTGACAGAACTCAAAAAGGCCATCAAACACCGGACAGTCCTCACCAACATTGACTAAACAAAAGCAAAAAAAAAAATAAAAAATATATATATATATATATATGTACGAAATGCAATTTAAATACCATGCTAAACTCGTTATTTTTGGCAGTAGTAGGTGCTATTCTTTGTCAGAAAACTGTTGCCCTGGACTGGAAAATTCATCACTATAGAAGAACTGTACTTGACAAAATGCCTATTTTTCAAAAGCTGGCTATTTATTACGGGACATGAACAAAGATGACCTGCTGTGAACACAGCTCAGAACTTCTTGGGAACCAGCAGTCCTCTATAGAGCAGTGAGCACATCCGAGATCGCTCTAATGCACCCTTTTTTGTAGGCAATGCAGGAGGAATGTTTGGCAGTAATATCCCTCTTGAACAGGTGGCCTAGCTTCACAGAAGTTTACAGCAAAGCTTGGTCTGGAGAATTAGCCTGTTTGGTGTGTGGTAAAGAGTATGGGTAATATGTCATGTTATCAGAGGTGAAAATCTACATTTATCTGTACATGCACACACCAGACCTTTAATGGAAATAGAAATGTTCTACCTACAGTGCATTCAGATCACCTTCACTTGTTTCAATGTTATGTTGCAGCCTGATACTACAGTTGTTTGACTTCCTCTTCTTCCTATTATTATTGTTATTCAGGGTTTATACAGCGCCCACAGCTTGTGCGGTGCTTTACAATATAAAGGGAGACAGTAAGGTTACAATACAATATAAAAACAAGAGGGTTAAGAACTTACAATCTAATAAGGTTGGGCAAGTGGGACAAAAGGTTATAACTGTGGGGGATGAGCTGATGGAGTGATAAACATTTAGTTGGAGGCGTGATAGGCTTCCCTGAGAGATGAGTTTTCAGGGATCACCAAAAAGGCAGACAGAGAAGGAGATAGCCGGACAGATTAAGGCAGAGAGTTCCATAGGATTGGAGAGGCTCTGGTGAAGTCCTGAAAACAATCATGGGAGGAGGAGACAAGGGAACTTGAAAGCAGGAGGTCATGAGAGGAGCGGAAAGGACTATTTGGGTGGCATTTGGAATCCAGATTGGTGCTGTAGCTCTGGGCAGAGTTGTGAATGGATTTGTATTGTTGTTGTTAGTATTTTGAATTTAATTTGTTAGGCAATCAGAATCCAGTAGAGGGATTGACAGAGAGCGGTGGAAAACATGAAGCAGTTGGTAAAGTAGATGATCCTGGCAGCAGCATTCATGACAGACTGAAGAGGGAATAGCGATTGGATTTGAGGCCGAAAGGATAGTTCACAGTCTAGGATTACACCAAGTACCCTGGCTTGAGGGGAGGGACTGATAGTTGAATGATTCATCTTGATAGGAAAAGTCATGGAGGAAGGGCAGATATCATCAGCTCGGTTTTAGAGAGATTTACTTCAAGGAAGTGGTGCGACATCCATGCTGATACATCAGTTAGTAAAGTGAGAGGAGACTGAAGGAGTGAGGCGAGTTGTAGAGAGATCAATTTGGTTGTCATCGCCATAGAGGTGGTATTTGAAGCTGTGGGAGGTTATAAGGTGACCAAGAGTGGAGGTGTAGATAGAGAGGCGAAGGGGTCCAAGAACAGAGGCTTGGGCAACCCCTACAGAAAGAGGAAGTGGAGAGGAGGAGACAGAGTTATAGGTAACACCGAAGGAGAGAGCTGTGATAGGGAGGAGAACCAGGAAAGATCTGAATCTCTGAGGCCAAGGCAGTGGAGTTTGAGAAGGAGCGAGTGGTCAACAGAATCAAAGGCCACAGAGAGGTCTAGTAGCAAGAGCATGGAGTAGTGGCCATTGGTTTTAGCAGTTATTACATTTTTTTTTATCATTAATTCTTAAAAATAAAAAAACTGAAATAACACATTTGAAAAGTAATCAGACCCTTTGCAACACCACTTGAAATTTTAGCTCAGATGCCTCCCATTTATCTTGATTGTTGCCGAGATGTTTCTACACCTTGGAGTCCTTCTGTAGTAAATTAAATTGATTAAACATGATTTGGAAAGGCACACACCTCTCTATGAAAGGCCTCAGCTCCCAAGATCACAGTGGCCTCCATAATTCTTAAATGGAAGCAGTCTGGCTCAACCAGGACTCTTCTAAGAGCTGGTCAACTGGTCAAACTGAGCAACTGGGGGAGAAGGCCTTAGTAAGAGAGGTGACCAAGAACATGACTGAGTTCCAGGGTTCTTGTGTGGAGACGAGACACAGTTCTAGAAGGAAAACCATCACTGCAGCCCTCCACCGATCTGGGCTTTATGGCAGAGTGGCTAGATGGAAGCCCCCCCTCAGAGCAAAACACGAGAGCCCACTTGGAGTTTGCAAAAGCTTTGTTGCAAACTCCAAACGTGCTCTCATGTGTTTTGCACTGAGGAGAGGCTTCCATATAGCCACTCTGTCATAAATCCCAGATAGGTGGAGAGCTGCAGTGCTGATTGTCCTTCTGGACCCGCCTCCCCCTTTCCTGATTGCTCAGTCTGACCAGGTGACCAGCTTTAGGAAGAGTACTGGTTGAGCCAAACTTCTTCCACTTGAGAATTATGGAGGTTACTGTGTTCTTGGGAACCTTCAGTGCAGCAGACTTTTTTTTAAGCCTTCCCCAAACCTGTGCAATAATCCTGTCTCTGAGCTCTGCAAGCAGTCTTTTGTTCTGATACAGCACGCATTGCCCGCTGTGAGGCCTTTTATAGAGAGGTGTGTGCCTTTCCAAATCATGTTCAATCAATTTAATTTACGAAATGTGGATTCCAAACAAGGTTTAGAAACAGCTCAGCAATGTTCAAGAGAAATGACAGTCCCCCAAGCTAAAATTTTAATTGATGTTGCAAAGGGTCTGAATACTTTGCCCAATGAGATATTTCAGTTTCTTATTTTTAATAAATTTGCAAACATTTCTAAAATTCTGTTTTCAATTTTCATTATGGGGTATTGGGTTTAGATTAATGAGAAAATAAGGAATTGAAACAACTGTAGTATCAGGCTGCAACTGAAAAAGTGAAGGGGGTTTTGAATACTTCTGAATGCACTGCATACTCCTAGCATCATAAGCAGTGTTTTGCTTTGCCACACCTTGTTTATACAAGTATACCTTTGTGTGTTAAAGTGGAACTATGGGCAAAATCACAAATAAAGTATATGCAGCAGTCTTCTCTGTAATTTTTTTTATTGTGGCTTTTTTTTACCTGTTGATCCAGCCAGTATATCTGTTTTTATTGCAATTCCTGTTATAGGGTTGTCACCCTATGGACAGGTTTTCAGGAGAGGAATCATTATCACTCAATACAGTGGATGGCAGGGCACAGGACAAAGCACTAGGGACAATAAGTAGTTTTTACCCGTGTCCCCGGAGAATTTCATTTTTCCAGGCAGAGAAAGTAACAGAAACGAGACAAAATGCAGGCAGGGCAACAGGAACAAAGCACTAAAATTTGTAAAATGAAAAAAAAAAAAAAAAATGACATTTTTTTAAAATTTTTAAATTTCCCAAGTAAATGACAAAATGTAAAGCCAAACTTCAGCTAACTTTTTTTTTTTGGAGGGCCAGTTCACACTACAAATATGCACTCTAGCAGCATTTCGGATACGTTTTTTTTTAAAGTTCACACCACACACAGTTCCGGTGCAGTTTGCAATGTTCCTGTATGGTTCTGTGCAGAAAAAATGCAGCATGTTCTACTTTTTTTTTTTCTGGACCGGAAACTGACTGCACTAGTAAGAATCAGGGCCATTGGAATACATGGAAAACACTATGTATGCATTTTTACACATACAGTTCACACCACACGCAGTTCCAGTGCAGTTTTGATGCAGTTTGCCATGTTCCAGTATGGTTCCATGCAGAAAAAATGCAGCATGTTCTACTTTTTTTTTCTGCACCGGAAACGGACTGAAACAGACTGCACTGGTGTAAACAAGGGTCATTGGAATAAATGGAAAACACTGTGGATGTATTTTTGATGCAGAAAAAAAGCGCACTGAACTGCATCTAGTGTGAACTAGTCCTTAGGGCTGGTTCACACTATAGAAAAGCAGTCCAGATGCATTTTTGTGTGCACGTTTTTTACGCGTTCTGGTGTGTTTTTATGCATTCCAGTTAATTTTTTCCCCTTTTACTTCAATTTAAATAGGGACATGTGCGTTCCGGTATGTTTTTGATGCATTTTACTGCGTTCCAGTACAGTTCCGTACAGAAATAATGCAGCATATTCTACTTTTTTTTTGCAACGGTAACATACTGGAACTGCAAGCTCTGATGTGAACTATGACATAGACAACCATATACCCTACTTTCTGTGCATTTTGGATTTTTAAGTTTAAACATCATGAATAAAACTTGGCCCTTATAACCACCCCTGAGAGATTCATGTTTTTTCTGAACCCCTGTAACTTTTGTTTACAGCTCAGTCCACATATAAAAATGTCCAAAAAATACATATTGGGGGAGATTTACTAAAACTGTTGCAGCTGTGCATAGTAACCAAACAGCTTCTCACTTTAGCTTGTTCAGTTAAGCTTTGACCATAAAATCTAGAAGCTAAAGGGTTACTATGCACAGCCGCCCCAGATTCTATGTGCGTCAGTTTTATTAAATCCCCATCCATTATGTCCAGCCAAAGAACTTTTTTTTTTTTCTTAGTTTGGATAAAGTGGGGAAGAATAAGAACCTCGGTCAGGTTTTTAACTGCGATTTGGGGCTCCATTAGAGAAATTTACTCTTACTTCCTGGTCTGCTAACATTTTAAAAAACAAGACAGTACTCAGGGATAATAGAGTAGGACGACGCTGAAACACCGGTCAGATTTTAGCTTTGGCTTGGTCTGGTCCTCTTACAGATCCTTTAGATTGTAAGCTCCACGATCGGCGCCCTCACATTCCTTCTGTACTGAAATGTATTATAATTGTACTGTCTCCCTTATATTGAAAAACGCTAAACAAACTGTTGGCGCTATATAAATCCTGTATAATAATAATAATAATTTACTTGGCTGGTGAAAGCAGGACAGAAAGTAATGGCAAATCTCTCTAAGAGAACCCCAGATCACAGTAAAAACCCAACAGTAGCTCTAATTTTAACCCACTCTATCCAAAACAAACAAAAAAAAAAAGTTTTGGCTTGACATACACTTTAAAGTAGAACTAAAGGCAAAACTTTTTTTCTTACGTTTTGGAAAGAGTGGAGATGGATTGGAACTCCTATTACGTATTTATTGCTATCTGTGCCCCCATTAAGGAAATTCACCCTCTCTATTTGTCCTTTTACCATTATTATTAAAAGAAAAGAAAATCCCAAATTTTGGGTTGTTCCCAGAAAAGTAAGAGGGGACGTTTCAATGTGACCTGGGGGTTCCCTAAGGATTCCCTTAATCTGCAGGTATTTCCTCACACTTCCTGTTTTGCTATGAGGCAGGAAGTGAAGGGAAAACTCCAAAATGGGGCACAGATGGCGAAAAAGAAAAAAAAAAAAAACTGACAGGGGTTATAACCCTCTCCCTTGCTCTACTCAAAATGAAATAAATAAAGTTCTACTACATTTGGGAAGAAAAAGGAGTCAAGCTAAATACTACAAATAAGACTGGGTATTAACCTTGCTCATTAACCACAAAATGTTTCACTACAGTGGACCTTTAACATGCCCTTACTCTGTATCATAACAAATGTGAACTCACATCTTTGCATTTGTTTGCTGTATTCAGACATATTGTCTGGTCTTATTGATCGAAGAAACTTAATGTATTCATCGCTGTGATACTTGGTCATCTCTTCTGCTGTGGCCTTATGAGGGCGCTTTAAGAAACAGAAAAACAAAAGCATGAACATTCACACTTTATATACACTGAACGATTGTAATACCGCACTTGATTTGTGCGATCTACAGGAGTAAAATCGCAAAAGTATCAGCAACTTATTGCTCAAGAATCTTCTAAGGAAACAAGCTTAAACTTAGAGTTTCAACCAAAATTATACATCTTTAATACAATGGGGGAGGGCTACCGCTCAGGCTGTTTTACTGAATGGACCTCCGCAGGGGAGCCCCTCACTTCTTGTCCTACTGACTACCTTTTTTTTTTAAACCTTAACTCAGACAGACAGAAAAAAAAAAAAAAAAAAAAAAAAAAAAACTTGACAGAGGCGCAAAGTAAGATTAAAAGGAGAAGTAGCCCTACTTCTTCAGTGAATTACAGAAATGCACTTCATTCTGCACTCCTGTGACCGGTTTTCAGCCGACAGCAGGCTAAAAGTCTGCTGTCGCCTGACATCACACAACCAGTCCCGGCTCTGGATCAATGCCACCTTTAAAAACGGCACATGGTCTTTGCTAACCCACAACATGTCTGCACATGTGTAGGGGATCAGACACATGCCCAGGTGCACTACAGGTTAATTTTACAGGAAAATTTTATACCATCATTTAGAATGTCACAACACGCAAAAAGGAATGCATTCTACACTCATCCCAGAAAAGACACATGCGTCTTTATGAAACAGAATTGTAGATCTGGGCCTGCAAGTATAAGTTCTCTTTGTATTGCTTCCTTAGTGTGAAATCCCTGACTTGTGCTGACAGCCCCCTTCCCCTACCCCCACCACACACACACTTCACTGGGATGGCCAGTGTACAGCTATTTCTCCTCTCCCAGCACTTGGAGCTCCTTATGCTGCTATATAAAAAAGGGGGAAAAATGAAAATAAAGAAAGAAAGCCTAAAAAAGAAAAAACATATGCAGAATCACATCTAAGAATTGGTATACTGCAATATAATAAAGGTTTGCTTTTGGGTTTAATACACCTTTTATGTAATAAAAGCTGAACTTCAGACAAAACCTTTATTTTTAATAGGTTTGGATATATATAATAGACAAGAGTAAGAATATCTGGGTTTGTACTTTTTTTCTAAGAGAAATGAAACTGTTAAAAGTGTTAGTAAACGTTTAAAAAAAAAAAAAAAAAAAAAAAAAAGGGTCCGCCTGCAGGTTTATCCTATAATGTACTAGTATGCACTGCATACAAGCATATTATGTCAGACTTACCTATAGAACGGATCCCTCCAGCAGTGCCCTGTCACTGCTGACAGGGATTCCATCTTCACCCGGTCATCCTTCCAGGTTCGCAGGGTCCGTTCGTTTGATTGGCTGAACTGCAATGACGTCGCTCTCGCACATGCACACAGCACAACGCTGTATTGTCACCAGCTCCTGCTCACTGGAATATCTCCTAAACATTTAGGAGATATTAATTCCACCTACAGGCAAGCTTTATTATAAGCTTACCTGTAGGTAAAAGTTGGAAAAGCAGAGACTTTACTACCTTTTTAAATGTGACCATTGTCAAAGATGGGGAAGATTTCCTCTCAGTTCTTGTGGTGTCTGGGAAAAGTGACATAAAATCTCCCCAAAGCAACACAGGCAGTGAAAAAAAAAAAAATAAAAAAGGACAAAATTCCACCACCTTATCAAAAAAGGTTTGGGCTGGATTTCACTTTAATGCAAATTAGACTACTGTTTGTCAAACCTATAAACAAAAAGAAAACAAGTGAATTATAGTGCAAAACAGACATAACATAATTCACAATGTTTTTGTAAAATGTAACACAGATGAGGTGGTGTTAAGGAAATGGATACCAAATATGCCAAGCCTCAAAATTGTCTATGCCTGCAAAAATATGATATCCAAAATTGTCGATTGGCAATGTTTAGAGTTGATCATAAATGATGGCTCTAAAATTATATCCGTTACTCGGATGTGCACAGCGATATCAAATATGTGTTTCTTAATCTTTGTTTATGTACAAGTGCACAGCTCATGCATATTTGAGTTCACATAAGTCGTGATAAGATGCCTTTAAACAATCTTTTGCTTTTTTTACTTTTTTCATTTTTATTTAAATTTTATAGCAGAAGGGTGATCAACAAATGGAAGCTGGCTAATCTCCCACTACTTGCCATCCTGACTCTGGCTATAGAGGTCATGGACAGCTCTGCTAGAGAAATGTAAAACTCCTGGCTACTAGTGTGTGGCCTTAAGTTTGTCAACATGCTGGTGCTGCCGCCATCATGATAGTTACTGTGAGGGCAGTGAAAGTTAAAGTGTTACTAAACCCAGGACCCTGCATTCACTATATCTGGTCTCCCACAGTACACACTCCATGGAAATGCAATTATTTTAGTAAATATAAACTGCTAAATACAGTCCTGTGACTTCTATCAGTTTCCAGCCAAGCCCTGGTTAAAGCTTGTAGGATTTTTCTTTCTGCTCTAGGATGTAGAACCCCTGACCTCTGTCTGGACAGTGCTGATTGGCCCTGTGCTAATCACATGCACTCTCCCAAGAAAAGAAAAAAAAAAGTCTAGCAATAAACACCAAACTATGCATGTGCAGAGTGTCTCCACACGATATATGTCTTATCAAGAGATAAGACAGGGACACTGGAAGAAGGGGAGGATCAGAGAAGACAGGATCAAACAGCATTTTTACATAATGCAGAGGATTAGCCCCTTAGGTTCCACATTGTGTATATCAAGCATGCTTTACTGCATACTCAGACTGATTTTACTGTTGTGGGTTTAGTAACACTTTAATCTCAGATAAAGATTCTTCAAAAGAGACTTTAGAGCTAGTCTCTCAACCTAGAAGATGAAGATTTTACAACGGATAATGAAAAGAAAAAAAAAAAAAAGATTAACAAAATGTAGAAACAGACTCACATATATTTCCATTTTTCTGTAGAGTCCATAGTTCAAAAGTAAGTTGTGGGTCATTCGTATTCTATGAGGCTTCATAGGGTGTCCTTGTCCATAATAGTAATTTCCAATGTCACCTGAAAAAAAGTTTACTTGGTTTAATGTAATAATAGCATAAGTGAAGGGGTAGACGTATTCCCAGATAGTAATCTGCTTTGTGCACTGGCGAGATACAATAGAAAGTAAAGTGTTTGTAAACCCTTACATACACCCAGTGAAGTGACTAGCCTCAGGTGATAAATGGAAATGGAATAAATCCTCCTACATAGGTTGTACCTGTTTATCTGCAGTTTCCTCTTCTCTACATCCGTTCAAAATCTGAAAAAAATTTATAAAGCTTGTCTGAGCTAACTAGCTGACTTCACACAGTATACAGCAACAGAGCTGAGGCTGTCAATCACAGGGTGTATGCTGAACATCCTTCTCACCTTTTTTCTCTTGGTGTCAGGAAAACTTGTCAGAAATTATTCCTGCTGATAGCAGAGGAACAAGGCAGCAGACAGAAATGACACTTAGTGCTCTTAATTGAGACAAGTACACACTATAGAGTGATATGCTTTGTTGATATTTCCTGTCTGAGGTTTACAACCACTTTAGGTTGGCTAACATTAAAAAAATCACTAATATGCAATCGTTATTCGTGTATAAATGCATAGTAATAATGTGAGGGAATTTAGGGTTCAGTATAGCCTTTGACTGCATTCAACAACCCCTCACAATGAACAGTCTGGAGCAAGGGAGGAAAGAGAGAGCAAGCCAAATCGGAAACACAAAGCAACCTGGAAGCCACAGGGCAGAAAAGAAGTAGGAATCTCCAGGTGCTTTCAATGACAGTCCAGGACCTTTTTTCATTCCTAAGGCTAGGTTCACATCTGTGTGGGTGGTGCCACTGCAGATCTGCACAAAAATTCGGCTGTACCACCCACACAGAGAAATGCAGACCCACGAGCGGGTACCATTAGTTCTAATGGCACACCGCCCGTACTGGAAAACGCAACCGTGCTGGGAACCAAGGTTCCCATGGGGGCTGCGTTTTTGGAAGAAGTGCAGGGACTTCTTCTCTTCGTGTCACAGTGCACAGGAGTCCATTCAAATGAATGGGCTCTCGTGCCCTTGCAAAACGTAGCCCGCACGGCCACATATATGTGAACCAGGGCTCAATGTTGTGTACACCTAAAGAAAATGACTTTTTAAAAGAGATATTAAGTGATAGCTACTTCACAAACTTCATTTGTTCCAGGACTCTGGTCACGAACTGAATTGGACTCAAAACCGAGGCAATTTTCCCACAGGGTTCAATGTAAATCAGGTTAATCCGTTCTGACCCCTACAAACTGTTGACTTCTGAGGGGTTTATGTATAATCTTCATCAGCAACTGTAAATAGATATTTTTATATAAACTATACGTTAACCGAGTTACAAAGTTAGAAATATCAGAGCTTGGTTTGATATCGGTGTGCTGTACATAGACATTGGAACAAGCGATCAAGTTGTAGAGATAGCTTTGTATTGTATTGGAGGAATGTTTGATGTGTAAACATGGGCATGCCACAAGGAATGCTCTATTATGTGAGAGGGGGCAACCACTAGATTAACTACCTTATCTCAGACTATATGGGGCCCACATAACCGATCTAGACCAGGCCATTTAAATCTCTTTGTTTGTATAAGGGCCACTTCAAATTACCCTCTCTTTAGATATGCAATGGTGATGGCTATCTGGAAAATGCAGTTTTACCAGGCTATGACCTAAGGTTCCCTCCAAACTCTCAATAATGGAGGGAATTTTGATAAGAGAGCCTGAATCCAGACGCCTCAGTGCCATGACCTGGCATATGTAACTTTATCACCAAAAGGGGAGGCTCTGGGCTGGGGCTGAGTTATGTAAGCGATATGGGATGAGGAAGTTGTCCAATCCTGGATGAGATGCGTCAGATATGGGAGATGGATTGGATAGTTCTACCAATCAGGGTGGCCCCATGCAAGTCTATGGGAGATAGGTGTATATCAGGGTAGGTTTTGGGGGAAGACAGGAGAGAAGATCCAACGAGCCTGGGGGTCCCCATGCTACACCCTCCGCAGCGAGATTCTCCCTGTGTTGCAGTACCTCGCCCAGGCCTGGCCCCCACGGGTCAACACCTGTAAGGCCATCACCAGGGCAGTGTTTCACTTCATCTGGGGCTCCAAGATGGACAGAGTGAAGCGGGCAGTCATGTTCAAGGAACCCCTCAATGGTGGTAAGGGCGTGCCCGACATCGCCACCCAACTGAGGGTGTTCTTTGCCTGCAACTGCATCCGCAGAACTTTGCCAAAAAGGATTATGGACTCTGGCGGGAACGCAATGTCACGCTTTTTCCTGTTGCCTCTCTGGAGGTCCCTCGGATGGGACAATTGGGACAGTTCCATCCCCTACAACTGGGACACTCCTTGGTACTACCGGATACCTTCAAGTTTATCAAGGAGCAGGGGCTACAGGGAGTCAAGCCTGACTTGTGGAAACCGAAGATAATCTACAAGCTCATCAGAGCAAATTACATTTTGGAGTCGGTTCCAGGCCTGCCTTCAGACACCTGCAAAAGTGGTCTGGAGGAATGTTTCTTCAAACACCCTCACCAACAGGCACAAAGACCTGGCATGGATGGCAATCCAAGGGGGGTTGACTCTCAGGACATTTATGCATGCCAGGAACCTGAGCAGATACAGGCACTGCCCCTTCTGCATCATCCACGAGGAAACGGCTCATCACGTTTTCTGGGAGTGCTCTTTTGTTCAGGACCTGTTGAGGGCCTGGAACCTGAACTCAAGGACTTTGTGCCACAGACAGCCATCACACACTTTGGGGTGTTGAATGGACTTTTCTGTGGACCTTTTTCCCTGGAGGACATTGACAGCGCCTGGCGGGTGCTGTGTTGTTTTAAGGACGCTTTATGGTGTGCCAGGAAGCGCCTCATCCACCAGCGGGAGAGGATGTCCATTGAGGACTGCCGCAGACTGATCCTCAGTCTGCTCAGGGACTATACCTTGATGGACTTTAAGGAGGAAGAGGATGTCTGAAGATCTCCCCTTCCCCCTATTCCCCCTTGCGTGTCTTTGTCCCTTCAATAAAGCTTCGGGCCTGTGACCCCTTTTTCCCCTCCCCCCCCCCCTCACACCCGTTGCTTATTGTAAATTTCACCAACCGTATCTTGCATGATTTGTAATCGTAGGAAATGTTTTTCTAAGCATGCTATGGTCTCGGGGTAAGCGGCGTTATGCATGACGTGTTGGTCTGGGGATTCGTTCGCCACGCACATCACGTCAGGCATCATACCGCTGAGTGAATGTATTTATTGAATGTATTTATCGTATGCCTGGAACTATATTGCAATGTGGTGCGCTGCGTCACAGTATAGGGTGAGATGTACCCCGATTACGAATATCGTGTTTTTTTATACTTCTGTAATAAAGTATATTTTTCAATCAAAAAATTGGTAAATATCAAGACATTTCTCTGGCACTTTACATATATACATGATTGTCGTATGTGTGGTCTGTCTTGCTGTTTGTGGGTTTAGGGTATGAGTAGTATATATCTTTAATTCATTGGTTGAATCGTATACATTTTGTTTCTCTTTTTCTTATTGTAAAATAGATTGTGGTATGTTAGTTTAGACCTCCCTACTATTTACTAATAAATTTTGGTTGTTGTTGTTTAAACCTTTCATTCTTGGTCAAAGAACTCTCATTAAGGTTAATCAAATCATATCAGAGAAATATTATATTTCCTAATCCATAGATTTGGTCAACAAAACGTGGTCACAAAATTAATTTGGTTGCCAACCGAATCAAATTTTCCCATAAGGTTCAATGTAAATAAGGTTAATCCGTTCTGAACTTTTTTCTAGTTTGTTTTTGAACCACAAAAATATGAAAAAGTACAGTATAGTACAGTATGAAGAGAGAGCACACTAACCTTGCTTGAGATGACTTCTAGTGTGGAGGACAGGAAGGCGGGAGGGAGGTGGTTATTGTTCAAAGGGAGAGTTTCCCTCCATAAGGACATTGGGGAGATCTCCTTCATGGGCATGTGCCCTGGCAGTGCCTTTCCCTCCTGTGTGATATAGGTTCTGTTCTGCATTTTTTTTCCACAAGAGCCCAGTTTCATCACAGTTGAGCGACGTATCCTTCTGCCTTCATGAATTCCGCAAATTCTTTCTTGTAGGCTTCTGCAGCAGCCTTGTCAGAACTAGAAGTCTCACCATGTCTTGTCACACTGCGGATGCCACGAATTTAAATTCTTCACTTGCTGCACTTGTAGAAGGGGTTATATTGCAGTAAATCACTGCGCAATATCCTGGCTTTTTCACAGATCATAGCGTCACTAACGCTATCATCTGTTTCTCATTCAACCACACTAACAAAAGTTTTTCCACCTCTTCCAGCACTTCCGTCCTCTGCTTGGTTAACATCACTATTCCTTTTGCCACATCAGCTCCTTTTATGGCAGCTTTCTTCTTCAAAATAGTGGAGATTGTCAACTTTGCCATCTTGTACTCCGAGGCCAGATCAGTCACACGAATACCACGGTCATGGTTTTCTACAATTTCCTTCTTCAACTCAATGGTTGTTTTTTTCACAACCTTATTCTTACTCTGCACGTTCTGGTCACCTCATTACTGCTCTGCACGGTCACCTTCATTACCGCTCTGGTGTTCACCTTCATTACCGCTGCTCTGCACGTTCTGGTCACCTTCATTACTGCTCTGCACGTTCTGGTCACCTTCATTACTGCTCTGCACGTTCTGGTCACCTTCATTACTGCTCTGCACGTTCTGGTCACCTTCATTACCACCTGCGTTCTGGTCTGCACGCTCTTTTCAACAACATGCTTGCTCTGCACATTCTTGTCACCTTCATTACTGCTCCACACTTTCTTCTTACCACCATGCTTGCTCTGAATTTTTGTTTGAACCATACTGGATGTCTAGTACAGTATGTGCTAAAAAGCACACCAAAAAGCTTCTCAGTACTTTAAGAGTTTTCACAGTACACTTGCAGTGTGTGTCTGTGACCGCAATCTATCCTACAGGAAGTCACGACCATGCGCCAGAGCCGGGAAGATGGCTGCGGCTCGTGTTCGTCAACTGAAGCGGGGTTCGTGAACCAATCAAATTTTTGTGAACTCTGTTTGCGAACAGAGTTGTTCGTGAACAGAAGAGTTCGTGAACCGAGGCATCACTGTATAGGTATAATTGCTGAAATTTAATGATAAAGATACCTTTACACCAGGGGTTAAAATTTCGAGTCCAGACCTACTAGCCGGTCACAAAACTTACTCTCCACCAGTTGCCCCACCCAACCTTGCTCAGGTCCGCCCCCAACCCCACCCCTGGCCAGCCCCAACCGCCCCCTTAAAGCTTATGAAATTACATTTTTCTTTAGAATAAAGAGTCCAAATATAAAACTGTACACAGTAATGTATATCCCAGCTCCCCATGTACTAATGTATATCCATTATAGTGATATGACAGTGTATACCCAGTAATGTATATCCCAGCTCCCCTGTACTCCATTATAGTGATGTGACGTGTATACCCAGTAATGTATATCCCAGCTCCCCCATTACTCCATTATAGTGATATGACATGTATACAGTAATGTATATCCCAGCTCCCCTGTACTCCATTATAGTTATAGTAATGTATATCCCATCCCCTGACATGTATACAGTAATGTATATCCCAGCTCCCCTGTACTCCATTATAGTGATATGACATGTATACAGTAATGTATATCCCAGCTCCCCTGTACTCCATTATAGTGATATGACATGTATACAGTAATGTATATCCCCCCTGCTCCCCTGTACTCCATCCATTATAGTGATATGACACGTATACAGTAATGTATATCCCACAGTAATGTATATCCCCAGCAGCTCCCCCTGTACTTCATTATAGTGATATGACACGTATACAGTAATGTGTATCCCAGTTCCCCTGTACTTCATTATAGTGATATGACATGTATACAGTAATGTATACCCAGCTCCCCTGTACTCCATGTCATAGCACTATAATGGAGTACAGGGGAGCTGGGATATACATTACTGAGTAGACCTAAGACCTCCTGCACACTGGAGATTTTTGCAGCCACTTTCAGGGGCATCAGGCATTTTTTTTTTTTTTTTACTGCTTCCAAACGACCCTCCATATTATCCTACAGTGGATATAAAAAGTCTACACACCCCTGTTAAAATGTCAGGTTTCTGTGGTGTAAAAAAAAAAAAGCAGATGAAGATAAGTAAACATAAAAAAAACTAAAATAATGTGCATATGCTATAGGGAGGTCTTGCAGCTGTTTAACCATTGAGCTCCAGAAAACATTACCGCCATTATAGTGATATGACATGTTGTATACAGTACTTATTTCTAGTCCCTCCGAGTCCCCCGCAGCGGTGGAGAGGGTGTCTCCTCTCAGCGGACCTCTCCTGCACCTGTCCCCTTGGCTGCGGTGCCGCAGAAGCCGGAAACCGGAAGTTGTAAACCGGAACTCGGCTTCACAATGAGGCTTGGAGCGCAGGTGCAGTCGCTCCATGCTTCATCTGTGCTCGCCGCTCACCACAGAGGAATGTCTCCTCACATTTGGCAGCGGCTTTTTCAAGCCCTGCTTTACACCATATTCTGCAGCTGTAAACTGAAGCTAATCTCTAGGATAATCATATAAACTCAATCCCACCCTTCATTTGCTGGCATGCCCTTTCTACTTAGCTAGTTATGTGATGCTCCAGTACCGAGTCTGCCCTCTTTTTCTTTGTACTTCCAGTGGGGTTTTTCTTTGAGTGCCACATTATTGCCTGTGCGACATGGAAACTTTCTTTTGGCTGTCCAGAGGTGGGGTTATCTCAGGATTCAGAAAGGAATGAAGTCTGTACAAAGGGCCTGTTGGGAAACAGCCCAATCTAGGCTCAACCAAAGCACTGGGTTAGTAGTCCCGAAAATGGGGTCGACAAAAGACTTGGACAGTGCACTTAGGTGGGTATAATTTGCTTCACCAAGTAAAGTAAAACAAACGCCTTGCAGGATGGGAAAGAGGGAGGGGATTAGAAAGGATTCATATTTTTCCTGGAGCAATGCTTTAAAATGCTGCCACCTTACAATATTCTGCACATTGTACAAAGAATTCACCTAAAAATTGCATTTCTTGCTTGTTTAATTGGCTTGCTGCTTTTCTCTGACTCCTGCACTGAGCTACAAGAAACACTGCATACCTTGCAACAAAAGTTACATTTTTGGTAAGATACTTTCCAAAGATCCCTGAAATGATACTGTAGCTATTCTCTGATACAACTTTTGCCACACAGGTTCTATTTCAGTCTACAGACCTAAGACCTCCTGCACACTGGAGATTTTTGCAGCCACTTTCAGGGGCATCAGGCATTTTTTTTTTTTTTTACTGCTTCCAAACGACCCTCCATATTATCCTACAGTGGATATAAAAAGTCTACACACCCCTGTTAAAATGTCAGGTTTCTGTGGTGTAAAAAAAAAAAAAGCAGATGAAGATAAGTAAACATAAAAAAAAATAAAATAATGTGCATATGCTATAGGGAGGTCTTGCAGCTGTTTAACCATTGAGCTCCAGAAAACATTACCGCCTTCATAACCAGGCCATTTTTTGCTATTCAGCACTGCGGTACTTGAACTGGCAATTGTATGGCCATGCAATACTGTACCAAAATGAAATTTATAAAAAAAAATAAATTCACACAAATAGAGCTTTTTTTGGTGGTATGTGATCATCACTGGGTTTTTTTATGTTTTATTAAGTAAATGAAAAAAAAAAAAAACAACCACTAAAAAATTATTTTTTGTTTTACTTTCTGCTATACAGAAACATATTACATATTCAATTAAAATTGTTTTTTATCTTTAACCACTTGCCTACCAGGCACTTATACCCCCTTCCTTACCAGGCCAATTTTCAGCTTTCAGCACTGCCGCACTTTGATTGACAATTGCGCGGTCATGCAACATTGTACCCATATGAAATTTTGATCATTTTTTTCTCACAAATAGAGCTTTCTTTTGGTGGTATATTTAATCGCCACTGGGCGCTTTACTTTTTGCGCTATAAAATACAAAAAGTGCAATAAATTTGAAAAAAAAAAAAAAAGTTTCTTTGTTTCTATTATAAAATTTTTCAAACAGGTAATTTTTCTCCTTCACTGATGTGCGTTGATGAGGCAGCACTGATGGGCACTGATAGGCGGCACTGATGGGCACTGATAGGTAGCACTAAAGGGCACTGATAGGCAGTACTAATGAGGTGGCACGGATAGGCGACACTGATAGACAGCACTAATGAGGTGTCACGGATAGGCGGCACTAATATGCAGCACTGATAGGCGGCACTGATAGGCGACACTGATGATGATGGGTACTGATAGACGGCACTGACTGGCATCACTGCTGGGCACTGACTTGCTGCACTGACTGGCACAACCCCTGGGCACTGACTGGTGGCACTGACTGGCAGCACTGGTGGGTGGCCACAGGTGGGTGGGCACAGGTGGGTGGCACTGCTGGGCACAGGTGGGTGGCACTTCTGGGCACAGGTGGGTGGCACTTCTGGGCACAGGTGGGTGGCACTGCAGAGTGGCACAGGTGGGTGCACTGCTGGGCACAGGTGGGTGGCACTGCAGAGTGGCACAGGTGGGTGCACTGCTGGGCACAGGTGGGTGCACTGCTGGGCACAGGTGGGCGGAGCTAGTGGGAGCACTGCTGGGCACAGGTGGGCGGAGCTTGCGGGTGGCACTGCTGGGCACCGATCATCAGGGCACTGATCATCAGTGCCCTGATGAATCGGTGCCGATCCCCGCTCTGACAACTGCCGGTTCTCGGCAGTACTTTCCTCACGATCTGACAGCGTGAGGAAAGTGCAGCCGAGAACCGGCACTTGCATTTTCCTCTGATCAGCGTGTCATTGGACACCGCTGATCACGTGGTAAAAGGCCGCTGTGATTGGCCTTTTACCACATCACGTGATCAGCTGTGTCCGTAGGACACAGCGATCACGGAGATCGCCGGGTGCGCGCCCCCCTGGGGCGCGCAGGAGAGCGCGTTCTGGGAGGACGTCATATGACGTCCACCCAGAACTGGCCGGCCGCAGTGTAGCCGTCATTCGGCTATCTGCGGTCGGCAGGTAGTTAAAAAAAAAATCAAATTTCTTCATAAATTTAATTTAGAATGTATTTGGTTAAAAAAATCCAAATAAGTGTATATTAATTGGTTTGTGTGAAGGTCTAGCTTATACAAATAATTTTTTTTCATACTAGTAATGGCAGCGATCAGCGACTTATATGGGGACTGTGCTACTGCGGTGGCCAATTTTACAGTAACAGAGTGAGTTGGAACTGACACTGATATCACCAGTGACACTTATACAGTGATCAGTGCTAATAACATACACTGTCACTGGCTGGGAAGGGGTCAACGTCTAGGGGTAATCAAGTAATTAAGTGTGTACCTAACAATGTGTAATATGTGCTGCTTTGTGGTAAAGATTTACGTGTTTCTTTTCCCTTAGCAGCGAAAAGAAACAAAGCTATTGTTCCCTCTGTACAGAACCCTGTTTTGTTTGTCAACACAGGGCTCTGGGCCTTGATTGGACACAGCCGATCAGAAGGTCCCAGCCAGGCATCATTGGCCAGGAACTGCTGACAACCTGCCTTTATGTCAAACCACATAGGGAGGAGGTGGCCGCAAAAATGGCTTCTGACAAGCAGGTACACGATTGTGCCTGTATGTGTTGTCCTTCCACAGTGAATGTACTGCGGAGGGTCGGCAAGCGGTCGAAAAAATAAAACTGGCTGAAAATAACAGTGAATGACCAGCTTTAGAAAGATGAAAAGGAGTTGTTTGGGACGTGAAAGAGGAAGGTGACTAGTTCAGTTTTATAGAGGTTGAGTTTTGAGTACATTTCAGACATCCATAAAAAATGGCTGACAACTAAAAATATACAAGGCAAAAGGAGACAGAACTCCTGAGCTGCATACTTAGGGTAGTTAGGTCTCTGGATCAGTACGACAGACAAGGAACTAACTAGGAAAGAAATGTCAGAAATGACAGCCTACATATTTCTTCCAGAACAGGTTTCATTACAATTGGCAGATTTCTGGTAGTCCCAAAAAAAAAAAAAAAAAAATTCCAGACCTCCAGGTTTAGTTTATGTAATTGTTTGCAGACATGGTGTATAATATGACAAAATATCAGCAATGCTATTAGTGTACATAGAATAAAACAGCACAAAAAACCTGCAAAGTACAGATATCCACAGCTGTGACCATCACTTGCACTGTATGGTCTAAAAACCTACCCTTTCAGGGCCCCATCAATCCCACTAGCAGGACAAAATGAAAGGAGACAAAGAAATAAGTTTTTACTTGGCACACAGACACAGCCACTAGATTCCAATAAAGTTATTCATCCTTTTACTACATGGACAGCATGGCAATAAGAACTTTGCTAACTTCAATAAAAATGGGTCATTAAAGAAGCATGGTTTTAAATTCACTGAAAGTTGGTGAAATGTTAAGTGAACTTGTACTTTTGCTCATACTAGGTCAAGTAACAAGTTCCTTTAAAGCGGCACCATCCATGTTAAAAACTTTAATATAGGAAAAAAGAATACTTACCAGACCAGTGCCGACCTTCACTCCCTCCCTCGCAGGGACAAGTTTGTTGAAGATGCCTGGTCCTTCATTTGCATGTTCTGGTTTCCCCCACCAGCCCCCATTATTACACTGTCCTGTAAGGACATCGGGACAAGCAGAAGAAGCCAGAGTGCAGATGGCATCGGGCATTTAACTGCCAGAAATGTGTCTGATGCTGAAGATTTTTCAGAAATCATAGCCCTTCAAGAAAACAGACTGGCTGTGTGACAGGTAAGCATTTACTCTTTTCATTGCAGAGTGACCTTTAAAGAGACCTAGTCACCAACATAAAAAAACTGCAGGTGAAAGCATGGAAACTCAAGTAATTTAAATGCACAGTGGCTAAATGGTTAGCACTTCCCCTGGCAGTACTAGGGTTGTTGGTTCGAAACCCAGCCACGGCACCTCCTGCCTGGAGTTTGCATGTTCTCCCTGTGCCTGCATGAGTTTCCTTCGGGTACTCCGGTTTCCTCCCGCACTCCAAAGACATGCTGGTAGGTTAATTGGCTCCTGTCTAAATTGGCCCTAGTATGTGTATGTATGAATGTAAGTTAGGGACCTTAGATTGTACGCCCCTTGAGGGTTAGGGACTGATGTGAATGTACAATATATATGTAAAGCGCTGCGTAAATTGACGACGCTATACAAGTACCTGAAATAAATAAATAAATGCCTATTTGCAGTGTTTTTATCCACTTGCAATGTGATTTTGAACTTGCTAGAAAATGTAACTAATCCAAAAAGAGTCAATTCCCTAGCATAGCCTTATCCCTCTTCTCTTCTGGGATTGCCCTGTTTTCCCCTCTTCGGAGATTGTCTAAAGTTTAACTACTTCTAGAGCTGGGACAGCTCCTCCACCTACCTACACCTTTTGTTCTCATGCACACTAGACGTTTTTACAGCGGTTGTGTTTGGCTTTTGACGTTTTTTGCTACAGCCAGTAAACTCCCCAGCATGTTATCCTATGTGTCAGTGCACACATAGACTGTAATCAATGTTTTTGGCTGGAAAAAAAAAAAAACAGGACTAGTGGATTTCTAGAGGAGTTTTTTAGCTGTAAGAACGCTCTAATGCTGCAAAATGCGGTAAAACGCAGCAAACCAGCAATTTTGCACTTTTTTGGGGCAAAAAAACTCTAAAAAAAAACCGCAAACACGGAAAAACGACGCTGATCGGGGCAAAACGCTACTAAACTATAAAAAAAACCTGAAAAACTTACGTTTTTAACGTGACTTTACACAGCTAACGTTAACAGCGTTATCAAAACATCCCGTGTGCGTGAGGGCTTTATGTGGCTATTTGAGCAAGAGCTTGGAGTCTGCTGGGACAGCTAAAATCATCCTGCCTCTTGGATGTCTACACAACGGAGGTTTTAAAAAGTAAATTATATGAATAAAATATGTTAAATAGAAAATAAACAGAATGTGTAGCGCCACTCTATAATAATGTGCAAATTACATAAGTTCATAAAAAGGTAAGAATGTCCCAATAAACACTGTTCACGGCAAATAAAAAAATAAAAAGCTTCCACCGCCTTCCAGTGTGAAATCACTCTAAGGTGACCAAAAAACCAGCCATATGAAATCAAAACTCACCAGAACAGAGGGCTGTTATTACAACAGAAAAAAAAAACCCATCTGTGACACGTCAGATCTCCCTGTAGTGTGTGCGCAACAATTCTCTGCGTTCAATGGCATTTCCATATAGATTCAAATTAGGACAAATAAAGCTTGCCAAGAGTACGAATTATCTCCAATAGTGCAGTATTTATTACATGAATCCACTAATGAAACATACGAAAGAACTCAAATTCAAAGCTACTGCTGACCCAGGATCAGGCAGTGGCGTAACATGGTTTCTAGTGCTAAAGTCACGCCGCTGCATGATCCTTGCGATCGGGAGCTTTCCAATCATGTGACTGCTGTGACAGCTGGTCACATGATTGCACCCCCCCCCCCCCGAGCATCAGAAACTCTTTAACCACCGCTGCCCGCCATATAGTAAAATGACGGACGCAAGGCGGTTCTCTCATTCTGGGAGGACGTCATATGACATCATCCCATTCTCACTGCGCATACACAGCTCCAGGAGAGCGCAGCACGGCGATTGGCGGTGCGCTGTGTCCCTCAGATCCCGCAGATCACTGATTCATGGAAAGAGCCAAAGATGTCGGCTCGGTCATGTGATCAGCTGTGTCCAAACACAGCTGATCGCATGTAAACAAGGAAATGCTGGTTATCGGCATTTCTCTCCTCACGAGCTGTCACACTGACAGCTCGAGAGGAGAGCAGAGCCGGTAATCGGCATTCCTCGGAGGGGACATGTACACTGATCATCAGGGCACTGATGATCAGTGTGCCCTGATAATCAGTGTGGCCCCAGCAGTGCCACCTGTCAGTGCCCATCAGTGCTCATCCAGGCCACCTGCCAGTGCCACATCAATGCCACATATCAGTGCCTACCAGTGCACATCAATGCCACATATCAGTGCCCATCTGAGCTGCCTTTCAGTGTCACCCATCAGTGCCACCTATCAATGCCAATCAGTGCCACCTATCAGTGTGCATCAGTGCCTAACAGTGCCCGTCAGTGCCGCCTAACAGTGCCCGTCAGTGCCGCCTAACAGTGCCCGTCAGTGCCGCCTAACAGTGCCCGTCAGTGCCGCCTAACAGTGCCCGTCAGTGCCGCCTAACAGTGCCCGTCAGTGCCGCCTAACAGTGCCCGTCAGTGCCGCCTAACAGTGCCCGTCAGTGCTGACTTTCTGTTCCTAAAAATTTTTTTTTTTTTTTTTTTTTTTTAATTTTCAGTGGTTTTTGGTTTAAGAAAAAATAAAAAACCCAGAGAAGATTAAATACCACCAAAAGAAAGCTGTCACAAAAAAATGATAAAAATTTCATATGGGTAGTGTTGCATGGCCACGCACGTGTCATTCAAAGTGTGAAAGCGCTGAAAGCTGGAAATTGGCCTGGGCAGGAAGGGGGTATAAGTGCCCTGTAGGCAAGTGGTTAAAGGGCCAGGAGGCGCCAGATTAAGAGGTTGATGGAAGATTTTCTTTACACCACTGTTCTAGGCACAACCTAAAATTTGGGATTTTCTTTTACTTTCACTCTTAGTGAAAGTAAGTTAGTTCTCCAAGATGTTTGGAACAACCTTCCTACTGAGTTCCTTCAAAAACTGTGTGCAAGTGTAATTAGAAGAACTGATGCTGTTTACAAGGCAAAGGGTGGTCACACCAAATATTGATTTAATTTGGATTTCTCTTCTGCTCATTTACTTTCCATTTTGTTCATTAATACAAATAAATTATTAACACTTCTATTTCTGAAAGCTTTCTACATTCACTGCATTTTTTCACACCTGCCTAAAACATTTGCACAGTACTGTGTGTATTTGTATTATACACAGACTGATTCATTATACTATGTGTTTGTGTATATGTGTATATATATATATATATATATATATATATATACACACATACATATATATATATATATATACATACATACATACATACACACACACACATATATACATACATACATACACACACACACACACATATATCTACATACACACACACACATAATATACATACACACACACACACACACACACACACATATATAAACATACACACACACACACACACACACACACATATATGCATACATACATACACACACACACACACATACATATATACACACACACACACACATACATATATATACATACATACACACACACACACACATACATATATATACACACACACACACACACACACACATACATATATATACATACACACACATACATACATACATACATACACACACAGCATATATGAATATGTCTATCTTTTGAACAAGTAAAAGGGCCTGTACATCAGCAGGAGATTAGCACAGTTCAATGCATATGTTCAAAGTTTTTTTGACCAGACAGACACACACGAAGTTGCTAAACGAAAGACCGTATATAAAAAAGCTCAAGCCCATTGTACACGATATTAATAAATAATCATGAAAACTAAAAAAAAAAAAGCTGATCCTACATCATACATGCTTTCAATTTTTTGCATAGCTTAGAATAACCTATACAGTGTGATTGGTAAGATTACAAAACATGAAGTGTTCTCCATGCAGACTTTGGTCCTCAAAATCCCAAACAACATAAATTCTACTAACTTTGTGAAACAATTCCAACAAGAAGATGCCAATACATGCAGTGGCTGATGCCGAGATGGGAATGATGGTGAAGGTATAGAAAGACTTCCAAGAATAGAGGACAGATCGATGATTGATAGATCTGCCTCCTCCATTCATAGAAGGTATAGTGTGGCTCCTATAAAACATCTAAGAATTTAGGATGTGTGGATTATTGATAGATCTGCCTCAATTCATAAAAGGTATAGTACAGCTTCTAGGAAAGAAACATCTATGAATGGAGGACGAGTGGATGATGGATAGGTCTGCACCCTCCATTCATAGAAGGTATAGTATGACTTCTATGAATGGAGAACGGGTGGATGATGGATGGGAATGCACCCTGCCTTCATAGAAGGTACAGTACGATTTCTATGAATGGAGGACGGGTAAATGATGGATAGGTCTGAACCCTGCAATCATAGAAGGTACAGTACGATTTCTATGAATGGAGGATGGGTGGATGATGGATGGGAATGCACCCTGCATTATAGAAGGTACAGTAGGACTTCTATGAATGGAGGTCGGTGGATGATGGATAGGTCTGCACCCTGCATTATAGAAGGTACAGTAAGGACTTCTATGAATGGAGGGCGGTGGATGATGGATGGGAATGCACCCTGCAGTTATAGAAGGTACAGTAGGACTATGAATGGAGGGCGGGTGGACGGTGGATGGGAATGCACCCTGCAGTTATAGAAGGTACAGTAGGACTATGAATGGAGGGCGGGTGGATGATGGATGGTCTGCACCCTGCAGTTATAGAAGGTACAGTAGGACTTCTATGAATGGAGGGCGGGTGGATGATGGATGGGAATGCACCCTGCAGTTATAGAAGGTACAGTAGGACTATGAATGGAGGGCGGGTGGACGATGGATGGGAATGCACCCTGCAGTTATAGAAGGTACAGTAGGACTTCTATGAATGGAGGGCGGGTGGATGATGGATGGGTCTGCACCCTGCAGTTATAGAAGGTACAGTAGGACTATGAATGGAGGGTGGGGGGTGTGGACGATGGATGGGAATGCACCCTGCAGTTATAGAAGGTACAGTAGGACTTCTATGAATGGAGGGCGGGTGGATGATGGATGGAATGCACCCTGCAGTTATAGAAGGTACAGTAAGACTTCTATGAATGGAGGGCGGGTGGATGATGGATGGGAAATGCACCTGCAGTTATAGAAGGTACAGTAGGACTTCTATGAATGGAGGGCGGGTGGATGATGGATGAAAATGCACCCTGCAGTTATAGAAGGTACAGTAGGACTTCTATGAATGGAGGGCGGGTGGATGATGGATGGGAATGCACCCTGCAGTTATAGAAGGTATAGTTCTACGAATTTTATGGGAATACCCTGAGGATGGGAGGATGGATGATTGAACTGCCTCCTCCATTCATAGAAGATATAGTAAGACTTCCATGAATGGAGGAAAGGGCAGGCATAGTTGAGCTCTATTGATGAGATCCTGGGAGGAGGAAGATGGCAGCACAAGGGACACATGATGCTGAAGGGAAGTTGTGTCCCTTGTGGTGATTTGTTATTCTAGGTAAACTTTCCCATACACTGGCACACAATAGATGAAAGCCATATCCCCTCATGCCTGCCCTGACCATGATGGAGGAAGCTGTCAGCCTGCCCCCAGCCAGGCCATGATGTCCCCTAACACAGAGGCTCAGGAAAACTTTTGACAGACACGTTGAGGAGGGAGGAGGGGGCCGGCCATGTTCCTTCATTCAGCTGTGTGGCTGGCGGCCTCTGGTCGGGGCCCGGCCTCCCTGTCACCTGTAGTGCGGAGCAGACAAAGCCCTGGCCGGAGTGCACTACCAAGGGGGCTGGGAACAGGCACCCCCCCACACCTCCCTGCCCCCCAGCACCGTGCCCCCCTTCCTTACCATCATAGTAGTAGCAGACCTTCTTCTTGCCGCCCCCCTGACTGTACGCCATGAAGATGCCGCTCACACAGGGACTTCGCAGGACTCGAGACACACCGGATTTCCCCGGCACCGACTATTCACACCCACCGCAGCCCGTTATTCGGTGATCAATGGAAATTTCCCGCTCGGCCGGGGACGCGCATAGACATACACAGACACGGTGCAGACAGAGGTGGGAGGGGCCAGGTGAGGCTGAGCAGGCGGTGCTGAAGATGGAGTGGGCGTGGTCCAGCGCTTGCTGCATAGACGAGCTATAGAGCTTGCCGCCCATAAGAGGCGGAGTTACTGATAACATACCACGGGGAGGGCGGGTCTTTTTTACATAGTAGGCGGGATAGAACCGCCTCAAAACATCAGCCACATTAGGGCAGGCAATGTGCGCGCAGCCGTCTGGGAGAAACCAAGCAAGCTTGGTATGGGAGGCGTGACAGGAAGAGCTCTTTGCCAGAGCGCAATGGGTGCCCGGTCAATGGGAAATTTCTAACGTACGGTTCCCCCAGATACATGGTGGATGGTACAGACCGAGCTTCCTACTGGCCTGCTGAGGTGCCGGGACCGCCCATATCGGAGGCTTGTGGTCATGTGTTGCTGTGCAGTGTGAGAGCTGTGGTGAGTGAGTGAGGGAGGTGCTATTATACAGGAACCTAGAAAAAGTTGGCTGAACTGGTTAAAGCTCACTGAAAGTTTTATTAAACCTTTTCAATGTAGAAAGCATTCGGTGCTACAGACATTTACCATACTTATTTTGTTTTTATAAAGGCTTTGTTTCTCTGGTCCTGATTTTCAGGTGACTCCATACTCTTACAGGGTCCAATGTGAAGAGTGGGTCATTCACAGAGGAAAGCAGGGGTGGTAAAAGCAGTTGGTTGAGACACTAACCATTGGTTCACACCTATGCATTTTTAATACGCTTCACAGTACATTTTATATGGTTTCCTATGCAACTAGTTCACATCTGTGTGTTTTGAGCTGGTGTGGTTTTTGGAGAGGGTCAGAGGCTTTTTTTTTTTTTTTTTTTTTGGGGGGTGGGGGAACTAATAGGAAAGTATGACCGTTCTATTCATGTAACCACCGCTCCCATTGTTCTCTGAAACTTCCTGCTCTGCCTGCAACTGATGTCTGCCTTCCTGTTACCCTTGGTAACCACCAATCCCATTGCTCTCTGAAACTTTCTGCACTGCCTTCCTGTTGCCCTTGGTAACCACCGTTCCCATTGCTCTCTGAAACTTCCTGCACTGCCGGCAACTGACGTCTGCCTTCCTGTTGCCCTTGGTAACCACCAATCCCATTGCTCTCTGAAACTTCCTGCACTGCCTGCAACTGACGTCTGCCTTCCTGTTGCCCTTGGTAACCACCAATCCCATTGCTCTCTGAAACTTCCTGCACTGCCTGCAACTGATGTCTGCCTTCCTGTTACCCTGGTAACCACCAATCCCATTGCTCTCTGAAACTTTCTGCACTGCCTTCCTGTTGCCCTTGGTAACCACCGTTCCCATTGCTCTCTGAAACTTCCTGCACTGCCGGCAACTGACGTCTGCCTTCCTGTTGCCCTTGGTAACCACCAATCCCATTGCTCTCTGAAACTTCCTGCTCTGCCTGCAACTGACGTCTGCATTGATGTTGCCCTTGGAAACCACCGATCCCATTGCTCTCTGAAACTTCCTGCAACTGACATCTGCATTGATGTTGCCCTTGGTAACCATCGATCCCATTGCTCTCTGAAACTTCCTGCAACTGACGTCTGCCTTCCTGTTGCCCTTGATAACCACCGATCCCATTGCTCTCTGAAACTTCCTGCTCTGCCTGCAACTGACATCTGCTTTCCTGTTGCCCTTGGAAACCACTGATTTCACTGCTCTCTCAACCGCTACTTTGGATGCCTGAAATTATCTGCTTTGTTAGATTTTTTGTAACTACTGTCCATGCTTGCCTGTATTAAGTGACCTTAGCCGCATAGTGCCTTAGCTGAGATCAAACACCTTGCCTTATCTTGTGTCCATCTTGCTTGCAATTTAAGGGCAGAACCCCTCTGCCATGTGTCATTTATTAGCTCTTAATTGAGTGATTGCCTAACCTCCCCCAGTCCATTCAAGTATAAATTCAGTACAGTCCTTGGGACGGCTGGCGAGGGGATAGGCTGGCATTTCCTGTGCAAAGTGTCATTATGGCGCTAAGTGCACGGCACTTTAAACACGGCACATACAAGCATTAGTGCTCCACCCCAAGTAGTCTGCAAGTGCTCTTCCTTCTCTTTCCATCAGCCTGCCTTTACTATTTCTCCTCTCTCCAGCATGTTCTTGCTAACTCTTTGTTGCTATAATGCCCTCTCTTGTCTACCCCTCCTCCCCACCCCACCCCACAACCTGTACATATCACCCTCACTTCTGCCCTCTCAATATCATTGCATTTATCTCCTGCTCTCTCTTAGTTCACATAATGTCACCGCTACAAAATCACTGCGGCATTTGCCCTCATATAAAACTCGCTCCCATCTCACCTCCCTCAATTTCCTATTACTACTAACGTCCGGAGACATCGCCCCAAACCATGGACCTCCACCATTATACTCCAACCCACAGAAGCAGCAGCCTCCCCTCTCTGGCGGCAGCCACAACCCTCACTCTCTAATCTCAATTCCCCTGCTTCCACGCACCAACCCCTCCCTCCTATGTGCCCTCTGGAATGCCCGCTCAACCTCTAACAAACTCTCTACTATCAATGACCTCTCCCACTCCCTCACCCTACATGCTATTACTGAAACCTGGATCCAGGATTCCGACTCTCTTCAGCTGCACTCTTCCATGGTGGCCTCCTCTGGACTCGCTCAGACCCAGTGGATGAAAAGGGGGCGGAGCCGGACGTCTTCTTTCCCCACAAAGCACGTTCCAGGTTATTCCTACCCCTCTGTCTGTGTCCCTCTGCTCTTTTGAAGTGCACTGTATTTGTCTCTTTTCTCCTGTTTGTCTGAGGATCATAGTCATCTACCGGCCCAGTTTCATGCTTTCTTGATGATTTTTCAGCATGGCTACCGTACTTTCTCTCCTCTGAGGTGCCTGCCATCATCCTCGGTGACTTTAACATCCCGTCAATGTTCACACCTCTACCACCTCTCAACTACTCAACCTAACTTCCTCTTTTAACCTAACACAATGGTCACAATCCACCACCCACTCCAATGGCAACACCCTTGACCTTGTATTCTCCCACCTATGCACTCCCTGTAACCTCTCTAACACCCCTTTTCCTCTCTCTGATCACAACGTTATCAGCTTCACACTCTCCCTACCTCCCCCATGCCTCCAACTAGCAAACTGTTACCTGTAGAAACCTCCACCACCTCAGCCATGACCTTCTTCACTCTGCTACTGAGCACCTCTATGATAAAATTGCACCCTTGTCCTGCCCAGAACTAGCCACATCTGCCTACAACTATCTATCATCCTCCCTGGACGCTCTTGCTCCTCTTTCTACACATAGAACCAGGCCTCGCCTGTCACAGCCCTGGCAAACAGATGACACCAGAAGTCTCAAGAGATGCAGCCACACTCTTGAGCAACCATTGCATAAAACTAAATCCCTGAAAGACTTTACCCTCTACAAATCTGCTCTTCTCAAATACAACTCCAGCCTCCACGCTGCTAAGCAAACATACTACAACAACACTCATCAAGACCCTCTCATCCAATCTCGTCAACTCTTTTCTACCCTTAATGCCTTACTCTATCCCCCACTGCCTCCACCCACCAACTTACTGCACAGGAGATTGCCAGTCATTTCAAGAACAAGATCGAAACAATTGGTGATGAGATCTCCAATGTCAAGCTTCCTCCTCCAACCAACATCCCAGGCCCAACACCACACTCGGCACTCTCCTCCTTTAACCCTGTTACCACCGAGGAAGTTACCGAACTCCTTTCCAAAGCCCACTTCGCCATTTGTCCCCTGGACCCTGTCCCCTCACGACTGTTGCAGCCTCCTTCCTGCTCTTTTCTAAACTCTCTAACCCACATCTTCAACCTCTCACTCTCCATGGGCACCTTTCCATCCCCGCTCAAACATGCACTGGTTACCCCCATACTCAATAAACCCTTGCTGGACCCCACCTGTTTGAATAACTTAAGACCCATCTCCCTGTTCCCATTTGCCTCCAAGCTTCTCAAGCGCCTTGTTCACAAACGTATGAACTACCTCACCGACAACAACCTTCTTGATCCCCGACAGTCTGGCTTCCGCCCTCAACATTCCACTGAAACTGCCCTACTAAAACTCACTAACGACATGCTACCTTAACCACTTGAGCCCCAGCCACTGCATTAAAACGTTCGCAGGGCGGCACGGCTGCGCAAAACCACGTTTTAAAACGTGGTTTTGCAAAACAGGTAGGGAGCACGCGGCCGCCCTACCTGTCCCGCGGGTGTCAGCAGCGGGTCTCAGCCGCTGGGTCACGGCCAGTCATTACCGGCCGTTTCCCGGCGATTAGCGGCAATCGCTGACAGAGAGCAGTGCTGCATTGTTTACACACAGCCCTGCTCTCTGTCAGTTGCCTGTCAGCTCCTGACAAGTGGAACCGGAGAGAGAGTTTATCTCTCCGGATCAGCCTGTCCCCGTCCAGCACACACCCCCTCCCCCTAGTAAAACACTCCCCTCACACAGTTAACCCTTTCAGTGAATAAAAATGTTAACTCCTTCCTCCCCAGTGTCATTAGTACAGTGTCAGTGGGGGTTTTTTTTCACAGTATTGGTGTCACTGGGGATATCAGTGACCCCAAGTCAGTTCCCCCCCAGTGTCAAAATGTCCGCCGCAGTCCTGCCATAAGTCGCTGATCGCCGCCATTATTAGTATAAAAAACAATTAAAAATCCCAGTATCTTTCCCGCCATTTGTAAACGCTATAACTTTCATGTAAACCAATTAATTTACACGTATTGGGATATTTTTTAGCAAAGACATGTCGCAGAATGCATTTGGGACAATTTGATTTTTTAATTTTTTTACTGGACATGTTTTATA